CTAAAAGGGAGGAAACGTTGTTAGCCACCTTTGAAAGAAAAATCTTGCGACACATATATAAGGGCACAAAAGAAAACGGGATTTGGCGGAGAAGGTATAACTTTGAACTATACAACATATACCAGGATCCGGATATCATAACATTCATTAAAATAGGAAGGCTACGTTGGATTGGACATGTGGAAAGAATGGAAGAAGGCGAAATACCAAACAAAATATTCAAACAAGTGCCAGTAGGAAAAAGAACAAGAGGAAGACCGAAGCTGAGATACGTAGAACAAATAGAAAATGATATAACAACATTAAAAATTAAAAACTGGAAAAAAAAAGCACGAAACAGGTCAGAATGGAGAAGAATCCTTGAACAGGCCAAGGCCCAAAAAGGGTTGTCCAGCCAGTGATGATGATGATGATCGCGATGTCTTATAATTAATTCATTTGTTCGACTGGATTGCTACTCCTTCGCGATTTCTAGTAGCGTATTCGGCAGGTGTACGTCGACACTGTTGTCTATCGTTCACTGATTTTCTGTGTTTTTGTGCAGATAATAACAATGTTTTATTAATAACATTTTTTTTGTGTTCATTAGATATTATTTGAATTGGTTAGTGTATAGTTTAATATATTTATTATTCCAAATATTGTTGATAATTTAAAATTTAAAAGGATACATCAAAATCTACAGATTTTTGCCGAAGGTATCTACCGATTTGGCAACAGTCCCAAGGAACATCACTGGCCGAGCAAAACAAATACATGCCCTTTGCTTTGTGTTTGGTAAGGTGCGCACGTGCGCAGCAGTTGAAAAATATCGACTTGAGAAGGAGTCCAGTCGAACAAATGAATTAATTATAAGACATCGCGACGTTATATTGAAATTTACACTGGGTAATTGCAGGTCAGGGGATCTTACTAATTGTATTAATAATCTGTATGTTCCGTTTTAAATCTTCCAATACTGTATGTTTTACCGACTGTGATGATAAAAGTTCCACTTTTATCACCAAGTGACGTCATGCGCGTCGACGTACAAAATTCGATTGCGAAGTGGGTTTATCTTGGAAGTCATAGTATCATGGTATTACACACATCGAGCAAAAAGACAAAAGAGGGAATCTAATTCTTTAGAAAAGGAGACCAAAAAAGTGGCCTCTGATGGCGGACATATCCGGAAATGCGAATGCGCCAAATTTAAATTTTCCGACACTTATTAACAGTAGCTATATAATATTTTTCAGAATGTGTCTTAGACGAGAAAGTTTTAATTAATTATTAACGGTAATAGCATAAAATGCGACACAATTGTTCAAAAACTTTAATATTAATAAGATTTCATGTGACATTTGGGACAAACAATAACATAACCCAACTAAATTTGATGTCAAACAAGGAGAAAGACTCTCTTTCCTTGTTTAATGTGGCCTCTAAAGATCACACTTCCTGTCTAACAATATTTTTGTCCCTACTACCTTTACATTCCCTCTTTTGTCTTTTTGCTCGATGATTACACGATAGTAGAGCGCCATCAGGCGGACAGGCTACATACTTATCGGACCGCCTACTAAATAATTATTTTACTTTTTTTGATAAATAGCTAATACTGTCATATGGATTTGATAATACGATAATATGAACTTGATAACAATTATTTTGTATATTGAAATAATGAATAAAAGTTCATAGTGTTTGAATCTAATACATTGATAGATTAAATTTTATCTATTATTTACGTGTATAAGGCATGCTAATCCCTAAATATTTAATAATAAATTATTACAATTATACTTTCAACCAAATATAATATATACATATATGTATTTACCTTTTGTAGAGATAGAGATAGAAAAATTGGATGAGATGATAACAAGTGTTGCATCAGATTTTTAGGGAAAACTATAAGGTAAGATTCTATGCTGATGACGTAGTGTTAGTAGAAAATACTGAAAGATATTTAAAATAAAAACTGGAACAATAAAGACAAGTCCTTGGTAAAAAAGGTTTAAAACTTCGTAGGACAAGAGTATTTGGAATGTTGATTCAAGAATAATGTAATAATTAATTATGAAATTATTGTGAAAAACTAATATTTTTAAATATCTAGGATTCGTATAAGACAGTATTAAAGAAGTATATTGAGATACATGCAGTAGAGTTAAAGAGGGATGAGCGAATTTTCTTGGGCGACCAACTGACTTATCATCGGGACTTTCCCAAAATGTTGTATTAAGGAGTTTTCATCATGATTTAATGTATACTATAAAATACAACGAACTACTAGTGACGATAAAAAAAGTGTAAACATTCATAAACAATTGTAGAATTATTTAAAAAATTATACTTTTTGAAGCAAACTCATAGGAAAAAGGGAGTGAAAAAAGTGGATGGATAAAAAAAGGTGGTTGTTGTGTGAATTCGCCCAATTGGTGATTAAGCTCCATTCCTTTCGATTTTCTGTTTTTGTTCTTGTTAGGTATCTTCATTCTGTTGATATCTTCTCTGACATGATTTTCCCATCTACACTTTGTTCTCCCTTTAAGCCCTGTATTTATCGTTTTGCACATATTTTCTCCATTTTTACTTTTGAACCTTTATATATCTGACTATACCTTGTCCATTTTATCTGATTATTTAGCTCGTTGTTAAATAATCGTCCAAACTCCCGTTGTGTATTTTTGGACAAGAATTCTTCTGAGGATCTTCTTTTCTCTTCTTATTCTTAGCTTGTCTTTGTCTCTATTAGTCAGGCATATTATCTCTCCTGCCTAGATTATGACAGGTGTGATTAATGTTTAATATTTTTATATTCATAATTTAATTTAGGTATTTTTACTGACATATCTGTCTTTTAGTAGTTTTTGTTATTTCCAATATGCTTTATTCCCGCTTTTAGTCTTTCAGTTATCTCTACGTTTCTGTCGTTAGAGCTGTCTATTCTTACACCTACATACTTAAATCCCTCTACTTTTTGGAATATACATTGTTTAATCTTTATAATTGTTAATTTAATCTGATCTTGCTGCTTTTCCTGATTTCAATCTTTCACTGTTTAAATAAGTTCCTTGTACGTGGAAACATTTTCTTTCTAGTTTTCTACTGATGATGTTTCTTTGTTCCATTTCCAAACTTCTTCTTCAATCGTTAGATTCGCAAAGCCCATTTTAACCTTTTTTTTCAATAAGACCTTTCTGCTTTTCTTCAATAACTTCTTATGCTATATGTCTAATACCCTTTTGGATTTTGCTTTCTGCTTTATTCAGATCATGGTTTGTATATATATATATATATATATATATATATATATATATATATATATATATATATATATATATGTGTGTGTATATGTGTGTGTTATATTCAATTTTTGTTTCTTTTTCATTATTTCTTCTTCAGTTTCATAATCAATTAGTTCAATTAGACAAATCTTTTCTCTAGTTTTTTTGTGCTTTTTACTTCTATTTTAATACCTGTTGTATCTGTTGTGTCAATTGCTAGATCTGTCCTTACGATATTGTTTTCTCTTTTTTGTTTCTCCAGCAATTATATGTTGTTTTAATATCCTTTATTTGTTCTCGAATTTCTTGATTTTCGTAGTTTTTCTGAAGTATTAGGTTTTGTTTAGCGCAATGACTTTTTCTTTGATTTACTTTTCTTCCTTTCGAATTTCTGTTCTACAATTTTTTATATAGCTCATGTCTATTTTTATGTCCTCTATCGGTTCTAATATATTATCAATTTTTCCGGTGATTGACTCTTTTTGTGGTATTCCTGCTGTCTTTCTGCTCTTTCTGAATAAGTAGTTTATCTTCTTGGCTTATACTTTTATTTTTACCACCGTCATTAGTTGAGTTGTTATCGGGGTTATTAAACAGTTTTTTTTTTGTACCGTTTGCAGTCTTCTTTATTTAGTTTTATCAAAAGAATGGGAATTTGTAATAGTCTTTTTTTTTAATAAAATAAAATGTTTCTAAAACTCACTTATAGGACACTTTTTTGCACTATAAGAGAGATTCTGTTCTTAAATTATTTTCTGTTTTAAAATTTAAAATTTATTTCTCACTATTTCTACAAAAAATCGAGATAATCACAGGTGGGAATGTATCACACACTGTTCCAAAATCACAAACAATAATATAGACTAAGAAAAAATGAAAGAAGCTAGTTGGAGCACTAACACCAAACAACACCAGTCAAACTACACACAAGTAGCGGACTTAATCAGGAAGGCATAAACTAAAATGACATATGACAGGTAATGATCTGGCAAATGACAGATAATGTCAAATATGACAGATAATGGCAGATAACATCGTAGCACTCAACTACTCATATATTACAGAAGTATTTTTTATTCTAATTTCTCGCTGTTGTGCAATCCTAGTAGTATAATGAGCAAAAAGAATGGCATATTTGTATACAATAACCAAATAGATTTTGTAACAAAATCTCACTACCTTGGCCAGAATTATAGTAGATTTTGACCATGACGTTGAAATACGAATGCGAATAAATATTGTCGATATTTGAATAAGGAGTTGAAACATGAATCCTAGAAGTAAATAGCGTAAAACAACTGAAAGTTTTTTAAGGCAAAATGCATAACGAATGAAAGCGTTTTAAAAATGATAAGAACTGATTAAAAGCATTATTAAAATAGGTTTAATGGATTATTTAGGACACATTAATCGATGAGGGAAGAAACTACGTCTTAAGGTTGGGAGAAATAAATGTCAAAAAGGGCCTGGAAAAATAAAATGTAAGTGACTAAAATATATAAAAAGTATTGGACAGATATAAATAAAACATTCACTAGTAGGTAATAGCATTCTAAGGGTTCCCCTAATAGGGATTAATTTTCTGTATGAATAAACCACGTTTAGTAATAGATAGGAACAAGAATTGCTTTGGTTTTGAATTTTAACCATAGTAAAAATCACAGTTGTTTCAACTTAATAGACCTTTCGAGTTCCATTTTACACAAAAACGTAATGAAAATGACTTACCTGTATACAAAAATGCGAAATTGAGTAAAAACATCCTCATCGTGAAAAACAATCTCACTGATCCGAGAAAAGCTTCCACTGGGCCTTGTGGCTTCACTTCTTCTACTTCCTCTTCCTCATCTTCTTCTTCTTTAAACGCTTTTGGTAGCACGAATAGAACTATTAGTCCAACAACGCCAACTGCAGCCAACGTGGTGATCACGAACGTTCTTGTGCTCTTGTCAACTTCTGTCTTTCCTTTAAAAGCAAAGAAGACGAACGTATTTCCAACAAACATACTGGAAGAGAATGAGTATGCAAAAGATGATAAAAGAATGTATAAGTCGGTAAAAATGTATGGTTTTAAATATTTTTAAAAATAAATAAACAATGCGAAAGCCTACAGAAAATATGAATTTTTTTTTCATTGCTTTTACATAAATATACGATCTCATGATGCTTCTACATATTAATTAGGAAAAGAGTAATCAGATACATATGGTTTGTAAAAAATTACGATTAGAGAAGTTTTGTGTCTCATATTTATACTGTAATATGTCAACAACGAAAAACAAACGTGGTAACAAATAAAATATTGTATTTTTTTCTGAATTATTCCCGAATTATAAATAAAACGTGTTTATATACCACAAAGTGGCCACGAGAATATATATATTCTTAAGACTTTAATTTTTCAACGAATATTCTTTATATAATTTACCGGTAAACTAATATGTAGACTTCATTATCACCAACAAACCAACTACACCACACAAATAACATCCATATCACACAACCCCTCAAACCCCATCCCAATCAGACTCAGACAATCCTGCTTATCTTAAATCTTCCATAACTCGCTCCAAACTAAACATCTCAAACAGTTCACCCCTTCTACCCAACCCATTACCAGAATACCTTCACTTCCTCCTTAACTTAAAACCCACACAACACCTACTTCTACTCCCAAAGCACAACCTACAACAAACCCTCCTTTACACTTTAGAATCGAAGACATCAACCAAAGCATTTGTCAGAGGCGATTATTTTACCAAACCATAAAAGTCCTTCCATATAATCTCCTTTCAAATAATATCGACTTATTCAAAGGCTTCCCCAGCCAAATGGCAGCTAACATTCGAACGTTTCAACTTTCAAGCAAAACTCCATTAAATCTCATTCATCTCCATATCCCAAGAATACTCTCATTCAGTTACAAATAGCTCAAATCCCTTTCAGCCTAAACGTCACCACAACAACTTCCAAAAATCTCTCCACAACAGACATTGAGGATAGACACCTATCTGAAGGCCTATCAGAGTTCCGCATATCAAAATCGTTCGAATTATTGCCAGTTCTAATGACAACCCCACAACTTTTGTCAGAGTTTTTACGAACTCTGAAATTAAGTTCGGTGATGCTCTCACGATGGTATTAGAATTGACGGGGAAAGATTTAATTGTAAGATCCATAGATCGAACAATACTGTCCCAGTCCGCCTAAAGTACTACACGAGATGCTCTAAAAGTGGACATCTCAATACATAATGTTCTTAAACGTCCTTAACTTGTCTGTCTCAATTGCGAACATCAAAAATCGCTTGCTTGCCTCATAGGTGTGGGAGCAAGTTTAGAGAATATGATTTAGCTGGCATCGTTTAAAAAAATGACACCATAATAAAATGACAAACCCTATATCATTTAGGAAACATGCTAGTATTTTTCAGTTTATCAAACAAAAATGATAAGTTCACCACGATACACACTTTAATCACGTGAGGAGATTATGAAAACATCATAGATGTGTCGTAGTGGAGTATATAACTGGATATTTTCGGCTAACAGCTATGCATCCGTCCAGCTATGTAATCATTCACATCGTATCCTATTAACGATAACGTTCCATATACGATAAAGACGGCCGATCAATCCCTTAAAATAATTGTTTGCCTTTTTATCTACAAGAATTAAAAATAAGAAGTTAGCAGTTCTGAATTTCTTTTCTATTTCTGTAAAAATCTGATTTTAAAAATGATATGTTTTTCGGTCTTGCTGCATGATTTATTAGATATACTTGGACTTAAGCAGGAGTAGATTGAAAGGATGCTTTCATTAAATACAATACAATAAATTAGAACCGGTAATCTTTTGATTAGGATCATCTTCGCCTTATCCGGTTACTATTAAAAAATAACGGGTGCTTCGGAATTACCGACAACTGCAACTCTTATTCTCCTATCTTGAAATCTCATTCAAGCAATTTGGCTAATAAACTACCACGCCAACCTATACGGGTTAGTCGATGGTGGAGATGTAGGGAACAAGTATAAGGCTTGGATAGGATTATACTAGGAATTCGGTCTAATTTCCTCGGGCTATGGACCGAAGGAAAAAGAATCAGGAGTTCACGTGGACAGGTGCAGGTACAGTATCTACCTACTTCCGCAAGTAATATCAATGAATGCTAAAATAAAAATTGGAAAAGAATTTTCGTTCAAAAATACAATTCAATACATAATTTTTAGTTTCATATTTTTTTTGGTAAAGTAATAGTATTCAATGGTATATATACATGTATGCGCACTACAAAAATATTACCTTAACTGAAGTAACGCCCAAAATATTCCCGAATTTCTTGTTATGTGCTTCTTCGTAGAGTTTAAAGTTAAATAATTGCCTTGTCCAGTCCAAATCATAGCGGCTCCTATACCCAATAAGGCACTGCACAAATACATTCCCCATGCTTTTGGAGCCAGGAACTGTAGTATGAAGGAGCTGGAAAATAAAAAGAATGTGTTATGGAAGGTCTACAACAATATTGTTCTAATTATTAGTTGAATTTTATATAGCGCCGCATTTCGATTTGGCAAAGTTGCAGTTAGTTTATAACGGACATTTGATCTTTGGATTTGGGTTTATTCATTGCAATGAAATCATTTTTTTTGAGTAACCGTTTCTTTTAAGTGGGTTGGTCGGGTCAACTGAACTAAATTTATACCATTTTCATAGATTATTTATTCAGGAAATACTCCTTCTTTCTATACTCTGTTTTCCCTGTATTTTATCCTGTATTATAGTTTTAGTAATCCACACCTTCATCATTTTCTTTTCTTTTCATACTTCTGAGAACCTCAGCATTTGTTACTTTGTCTACCAAACTTATTTTTATTATCTTTATGTAGGCCCACATCTCAAATGCATCAAGTGGGTCATTTATATCTTTCTTTGAAATCCTGGCATCCATTTTATAGCAACATGAAAAACACATATTAGCGTAACATTTCTACTTTGAGTTATGAAACAAAGTTAACGTTTGCTAGCAATTTTTTATTAGCTATTATATTCGTTATTTTCATTAATATTCGTACCAAGATATGTATATTCTTAAACTTTTTGTATTGGTATTCAATATTTCTTATTGTTTCATGGCATCTTCTAACAATTCTTGTATATCTTTTAGTTTATATTAACCAAGTTATTTTCCTTCCTTCAGTATTCTGTCCAATTATCGAACATTGGTGATCATATTGGCAATTTTAACTTTGTTTCTTTCTGTACAGCAACTTGTAAACAGATTAACGGATGTCTCTTAATACTATTTTCAGAAATTTTGGAACCAGCATGTTCTTCTTCGGTCTGGGCCTCTTTTTCCAGCGATCTTGCCCTGTATTAAGAACTGTAGAAGGTTTACCTCTCTGGATGTCCCATTATATGAGGGAAATATGGTAACTTTCGCATTTGTATTGTATTCGTTATAAAACTATTTCATTTCTTATTGGATCAATCCAACTTATCTGGCATATTCGTCGGTAAATCCACATCTCAAAAGCCTCCAATTTTTCATCAGTGTCTCTGTAAGGATCCAGCTCTCCAGCTATAGCATATAGCTCTCCAGCATTGTGGACAATATGTGACAGCGTATTAATCTGATTTTAAGATTTAATGTAATATGTCTATTAGTAAGAGTCTCTAGTTTATAGAAGGCGCCATTGGCTTTCTCAATACGTATTCTTATGTCTTTGTTTATATCCCAGTTATCGTTAACGTTGGCGCCCAAGTAGATGATTGTTAACTCTTTCTAACTTTACTCTGTATGCTCTGATGTTCATTGGTTGTAACTCCGTTTTGCTGGCAGCTTGTGGCCAAAAAAAGTGGTGAAGATGAGGAAAGCTTGCGGAGCCAAAAGGAGTTTTGGTACCTACTTTGCGCCCTTCTTCTTCTTCTTTCTAACATGCCATACACCAAAGTGCGTAAGCAACTATCTCATTACTAGAATTCTGTTCTTGGCGGCGTGACATAGCTCGCCTGTATTGTGTATTCCTGTCCATTCTTTAATATTCCTTAACCAGGATAATTGTTTGCGGCCAGCTCCTCTCCTACCTTCGATCTTCCCTTGTAGGATTAACTGTGGTATTTCATATTTTGCTCCTCTCAATATGTGACCAAGGTAACCAATCTTGCGTTTTTTAATTAATTCAAAGAGTTCTCTTTCCACTCCGGCTCTCTTAAGGACGTCATTGTTTCGAACTCTATCCACCCAAGGTATGCGCATCATTCTTCTCAATGACCACATTTCAAATGCTTCAAGTTTGTTGATATTTTAGTTCTGAACCTTGACATTTCATTAAGGATTTTTTGGCAATTGAAGCACCACGCCTGCTAAAACGGGTTGGTGAGTTTTGATTCAGCCGCCCTCTCTGGGTCAGATGCTTATTGCAGCCGTCCACTCTGGATCAGACGCAGATGTTTAAAATACTGGTTCGACCATGTAAAAGAACATCCCTTGTATCTTCATTTTTTCAATGTCTAAAGGGAGTCTCTAATATATTACACACCAAGTCATTAATTGGATTCATGTCTGTCTAAAATTATTTTTGTCCAAACGAAATCCACGAGAACACGTTATATCCGAAACAAACCACAGAGAAATGTATTAATAAAGTGCAATAAACAAATAAAATTAATACTGTGACTAAACTAAACTAATAAATACTATACTACATAAAAATATCTATATAATAGACTAAATTTCAAAATGTTGTCGCTGAGAGAAATTTCCGAAACATAGGAATACCAAATACATATCCAACAGTGTGTGAAGACGAATAATAGATTTTTAGACGGAACTGCACTCTGCACTCACCAGTATTCTCCGCTATCGCTAAGATAGGCTGACGTCACGTTGCCATGGCAACCGTGAACGCTTATGCAGATGGATTTCGCATTTCAAAAATGATATTCACCTATTCCTGACTCCTACACGACTAGTGACACAGGTCAGGACTTGACCGTCAAGTACGTACCGCTAATAAAGCTAGTTGTCTTTTTTAATTTTTAGATTAAAAGAGAATAAATAATTGATTTAAGAATTTAGATATAATAATGTTGATTTCATTTTTTATTTATTTGTCTCAATTTAATTATATTTTTTTGGTGAACCTCACCTTCACCTACTTCATCTGGCTGGCCGCCGCTGTAAGTTTTGTCTTACAAGTATTAAGTTTTAGCTCATATTCATTACATGTTTCAGTCACTGAGATTGTTGACATCAATTCCGTTGATTTTAATGCCTGCCTCTTCATCTAAGGTTTCTTTAAAGATAAATTCGGATAAATACAACCTTGCTTCATTCCACGTTCGTATCTTCACTACTTCCGTCGTGTTCGGACCAATTCGTATGTTTTCACATTGATGCCAATAAAAAATTTTCATAATATGGAGGTCTTGGTCATCAATTACCACATGCTACAAGACACCTATCAGTTTGTCCTGGGTGACCCAGTCAAAGGCCTTTTCGAAGTCGATAAAACCCACATATATCGGTTGTTATATATCCCTGCGTCTTTGAACCATAACCTGCAGACTGAATAATGTGTCTCTAGTTCCAAGGTTGTTTCTGAAGCCAAACTGTGTTTTGCTTAGTTGCACTTTAGTTGCACTTTGGATATGTTTGAAGCAGTCGATATATTTTCCATTCGAATTTCTATTATTTCCTCATCATACAGTTCCTCCATTCACCTTCCCAGTTTGTCTTGTTCATTGACTATAATGTCTCCTTGTTTGTCAAGTAGACTACTTGCTGGTAACCTGTAGAATCCAGATATTTCTTGCACATTTTTGTACATATTTACTGCTGTACCATTCTTTTTTTGCATCCCGGATTTTCCTTCTGATTTCATTATTGATTTTGTTCTATTCATTAGTGTTTATATTTTTCTGTTTTCGTCTGTTTTCCATCTGCTGCAGCCAGCTATTTTGATTGAATTTCGGTATCTTTCAGTAATTCTTATATAATCGATCTGGTATAAGCTTAGCTTGAGTACCTACTGGTAACTTCCAAGTGTACAAACGACGTTTAGGTAGTTTAAAAAATATATTTGCAAACTCATTATTTTCTTGTGAAATTTAAAGCTTTCATGATTTCATATTTCTGATAATTTCTCAATGTATCATTTCCCTTTAGCCGCTGGCATCTTTGTTCTAATTTCTGTTTGTAAGGCCATCTATTCGTTCGCATTTTGATTTTGTATAATCTTCATTTCTCCATTAGCTTCAATACCTCTTCAATGATTCTTGTATCCTTAGAAACTTCATTTGTGATGAACACCTTTTTGCCTAACTCTTCATTAATTCTCAACGTAAGTTCTTTTGTCGCAGAGTGATTTAGAAGAAAACTTATTTGTTGTATATTTTGTTGCTTTAAACGGACTTAGAATTTTAATGGCTTATAATCTGATGCCACATCTGCTCCCGAAAATATATTTTCGACGATTTGGTAGAATTACGGTATCTCTTATTGATAAGTATGTAATCTATCTGATTTCTGATATTTTTTTCTGTATTTTGATGAGTCAGTAGAAAATGGAAAAAGTTACAACCAAAATTTCTAAGATTATCTACAGAGTGGAACAGCTAAATGAAATACATTCGATTACAAATGAATGGGGGCGTGTTTAAAAAACGCTGTGCACGTCGATTGACATTTTTAGTTGCGCATTTTTTTAAATAAAAAAACTTATTATACAGGGAGTATCATGTAACAGTGGCCAGTATACCAGCTTTCTTATTTCAAATACAACACCCTGCATAATATTCAATTTTTGGATTAATCGGAATATTCTAGATATATTTCATATATAATGAATGCCCTATACTTATTTTTAACGTTTTCGGAAATATTAGGAGTTTTCAGATTTAATGCAAAATGTAACATTAAAAAAAAAAGAAAATTATCTGATTACAGAAATTTGATACAACACACTAAAAAACTAATAAGTGATACTGTTTATTTCTTGATAATCTAAAAAACAAACAAAAATACATTAATGTGAATAGAGATGTTCAAAATGATTGCCGAGAACGCCTTGGCAACATCTTAATCTTAAATAGAAATTTTTTCTAACGTTACTCAAGTGTGACCGTTCTAATCTAAAGCGTTATTCGTCTTTTAAAATTAGTAAAATTAAGTTAATTGGTGTCAGATCAGGATATCGTGCTTGTCATTTCATCGATCCTCGCCTCCCTATAGACCGAGTATTCGAAATATTCGATTTAGACACTGCCAAACATTGATTTGGTGATGGGGCGCTCTATCCACCGGAAATTGGTGTTTAAAATGGCTGAAGTTTGTCAAAAGTTGGTATGACATTATTTTGGAAAAGTGTTAATAATTATCAAGACACTTATAACGGTAGTCAACAGGGTCCGCATAGCCAGGATGATTTGCAACCTTCGATAGAAGATGGAACTTAAAGAAGAAGAAATTATTATCTTGAACAATTCCTGCCCAAACATTAACCTTTTTAGAATAATGCATGTTCTTCCCTCATCTAGTGGGGATTTTCCACTTATTCATGTTCCACTTTCTGGGCCTGTAGTCAAGACAAAAGGTGAGTCTTTTATTACTGAGCTTAGAATTGAGAATTTTAAGGCATCTAAGGGTTGGCTGAGCAAGTAAAAGCTGCGTCATAAGATCAACTACGGGTATATCAGCAGATAGGCTCGCGATGTTAACAAAAACGTAACGGATGATAGGCTAGAAAACGTATGGCCTGGACTGAAGACACGATATGCGTCAGACTAAGTTTTAAATGCTAATGAGACTGGATTGTTTTTTAAAATGACACCAAACATAACTTAAAAATTTAAATACGGTTCTCTACGGTTTTAGTGACTGCTAACATGACAGGTTCAGTGAAGAGAAAATTGTTAGTGATAATGAAGTCGAAAAAAAAACGGGTTGCTTTTGAGATCAAAAATCTACCAGCGATCTATAAACCAAACAAGAGTGCGTTGATTACTTCGAAAATTGAAATTTTTGAAGAAATAAATGAGATGTCGAGCGTAAAGGAAAAATTCTTCTGCTTGTAGACAGTTGTCCTGCTCATCCTGTACAGTGCGACCTTTAAAACATTGAACTTTGTTTCCTGCCAGCAAACTCAATGAGTGTCCTTCAGCTTAGGCCAGACATTTTAAACTTCCTGTCACCTACGGACCGGAGGAGCTAACTTGATAAAAATGTAGCTCCGACCCCTTAGCAGGAATTGGATACGGCAAAAGTATTTCATAGACCAGGAGGACGATATAAGTGGTGTAGACGATGTTATGCGTCTTCAGAACAAGGTCAGGTCAGTTCTGTGGAAAGGTAAAAGGAAACAGACCAAGGTGGCAGACTTTTTCGTTAATGTAAGCTAAATATAGGAAATAAACTTTTTTTTCATACCTTGACGAAAATACTGCACAGTACCATATTATTTTGTTACTGTACAGTGTACATTTTTTAATTGTGCATTGATGTTTTTTATACTGTATTGCTTATATCATGCATTAATAAATCTATGTAGTGTATAAATTATATACAGTGTTAATTCATTTATAATCGTTTTGATCAATTTTTTAAATTACTATAGGTTAATTAGCACAGTATTATTATGACAGTAACGATTTCTGTATCTCTCTGTATAACGATATTTCCTTATAACGATGAAAATTCCCGATCCTTTGCATATCGTTACAGAGAGAGCAGACTATACAATGTGTTGTATTTGAAATAAAAAAGTTGATGTTAGCCATTGTTAGAAATCCAAAGTCTTTACTATGCATGGCCTGTTTGAAAATGATATCCGAGTAAATATTAAATAACAGCGGGGATAGAATGCATTCCTGTCTGAGACCTTTGTTTGTCTTTACACTTGCCGGTTAATCTACCATCGCCTCTTACGACTGCTTTCTGCTTCCAACACATATGGTACGTAGGTCTCTACCATCAATGCCTTTAATTCTTAATCAGAAACTATAAGCGTACTTATCGAAAGCCTTTTCGTAATCGATAGAAGCCACATAAATATCTTCAAGTTGGTCGCGGTATTTTTGGAGAAGTACATTTAAGCCAAAAAGTGCCACACGGGTACCCAGCGTATTCTTAAATCCAAACTGGGTTTCATCTCGGTCTCTTTCGCAATGACTTCTTATTCTTCCATAATAAACGCGAAGAAAAATTCTCAATGTGCGGCTCATCAGACTAATTAATCTGTATTCGTCGCATTTTTTACCCACTGCTTCTTCGGAATTGCTATAAAAATAGACTTAAGCTATTCCTCAGGTTGTTTAGATAAAACTCTTAATATAAATCGATAATCCATTTTAAAATTTAATTTAATTCTTAAGGCTTATCAAACTTAAACCTAATTTCTTGAAAAATAGTTCTGATAGATATATAAACGTTTATAAGATTGGTCACAAGACTATACTTACACATAAACTGTGCCTCCTAGGAACATTGAAAATTTAGGACCAATTATACTAACAACTGATGGGGCTGACCAATTAAATAGCGAGAAGAACCCATAAATGATGGCCTGACTGTAGTATGCGTCTCCGTCATAGGTCGGATCATCTTTTACTATACTGTCTGTGATAGTTTGCTGGAAAATAAAAAGTACAATTAGGAAAATATTCTCTATGGTTTTCTAGGACAATGTGGTTGCAATCTGGTCACAAGTAATTTTTGACTAGAGCAAAATGCTCATCTAAAAATCAAAAAGGTAAGATAACATTGTAGCTAACATTATATTATATATCTTATACACAATGTCGCAATAAAAATTTGTACCTTTTTTCACCAAAATACAGAAACCATTGTTTTTGGATTGTTGCTACATTGGATGCTGTTAATTTGAATAAAAACCAATTGTTATGCAAAAATAATTCTTGTGCAATAAACTTTAGCCCTGTGCGGGGATTGCAACTCTCTAGAAATTTTTTAATGGGACCAGCAGTGGTCAAATGAGCCATAATTGGAAAACTTGAAAAGGGTTTTCGTTATTTATACCACCGTTTTTATTTTTTTTAAACCAATCGATTGGTTACCGACAAACCTTTTTAAATTTTTAAAGTTTAAAAATCATGTAAATTAATAAGAATGCAAACTAGAATCAAATAAGATTGTGTTCAACTACTATCAAGATGGTTTATACAAAAGAAGAAAAAATTGAAAAAGTTTCCATTTACAAACGAGAAGTCGTCTAGTTCAAAATGAAGGTATTGAAGTTGCAGTTTTGGATCAGGGGCAAATGGATCCTTACTCGGTCTATCAAAAAAATATCTGAAGCTTCTGTTGTCTCACACAATAGTATTCAAAGAATTTTAAATGGACATAAATTTCAAAAAATATTTATATATAATTTCAAAGATTTATTTTTTATTTATCGTATGGCAATTACAACACATTTAGAACAAAATTACAAACACTAGTAATATAGGTATATGACAAACTTTAAATAATTACAAACAAACATCAAGTGTATTAACATAATCAATTGACTCTGAAGTTGCAAACAGGAAGTCTTCAGGGCTACCGTTATAGGATCTTGAGGGACACTCTTCAATAATGTGGTCGATCGTTTGGTCCTTCCCACAGTCACATTGGGGAGACGGATTCTTTCCCCATTTATGTAGCATGTATGCACATCTGCCATGTCTGGTTCGGATCCTGTTTAGAGTGGACCATGTTTTACGTGGTAGATCAAAACCTGGTGGCTTGTGGGTAATACAGGGCATGTTATTTTGCCATGCATTCCATTCTTGGGACCATGCATTCGTGATGTTGAACTCCTCATGTATCATTCTTGCCGTTTTCATTGGTGGTTTTCTAGAACGTAGACGGGTATTTCGTGCATCCTCGGTATCTTGGTGGATCGGCAGGTTTATATTGTTCATGATCTTTTTGTATTCACGTGTAAGTGCATCAACTCGTCGTAAATGTGGAGGTGGAATGTGACTTAATACTGGAAGCCATTGGGTGGGAGTTGATTTAATTGTACCAGCTATCATCCTCATAGTGCTGTGCAGCTGAGTGTCGACCTTTTTTACGTGTGAACTGTGTAGCCAAACTGGGGCACAATATTCAGCGGTCGAGAAAACAAGGGCTAAAGCAGTAGAGCGGGGAGTGGAAGCCGATGCTCCCCAGGTGGTACCGCAGAGCTTCTGTATAATTTTATTTCTTGTACTCAACTTTTGGGCAGTTTTTGTTAAATGCTCTTTAAATGATAGCGTTCTGTCTAGTGTTACGCCCAGGTACTTCGGTGTTTTGTTATGAGAAAGTGTGGTATTTTCAAAGCGTATGTTGAGTTCCCTTCCAGCAAGTTTATTGTTCAGGTGAAAGCAACTTACTTCTGTTGTGGATGCATTTGGTTGAAGCCGCCACTTGCGAAAATATTTGCTCAATATATATAAGTCTGCCGTCAGAACTTCTTCAGATGTTTCTAGTGTTCTGCATCGTGTAGTGAGGGCCCAGTCATCGGCGTATCCGAACTTTCTTGATTGTGTTTCTGGCATATCTGCTAAATATAAGCTAAATAGTAATGGAGAGAGCACTGACCCCTGTGGTAGGCCATTCTTAAGTTTCTTTGGTGGGCTGATATATGTGCCCATCACTACTTGAAACATTCGGTCGTTGAGCATGCTATCTATTAAACGTGCTATTTGTTTACAGGGAATTGCACGGAGAATTTTGTATATAAGGCCCTCTCTCCATACTGTATCGTAAGCTGCCGAGAGATCAATAAATGCCGCTGAAGTTTTAAGTCTTCTTTGGAAACCCGCTTCGATGTAGGTGGTGAGTGACATGACCTGGTCTGCGCAGCTTCGTTCTGGTCGAAAACCCGCTTGTTCGACTAGGATCACCTGGAACAGTTCTGTACTGATTCTATTATATATAAGCCTCTCTAATAGTTTGTAGATAGCAGAGAGAAGCGCAATTGGTCTGTAGTTTTTTGGGTTGTCAGCGGGTTTGCCTGGCTTTGGTATGGCTATTATCTTAGAGCGCTTTAGTTCTTGTGGGATATTTCCAGTTTCCATGATGTCTGTGAAAAATCGAGCCAACCAAACTTTTGCATACTTGCCACAATTTAGTAGGAATTCAGGGTGAATATTATCAAATCCTGGTGCTTTTGCTGGCTTAACATCTTTTAGAGCCTCTGATATGTCTTCGCTGGTGAAGGGGAGGGAATGCTCCGTTTCTGTGGCTACATGTTTTAAAGTTTTAAGTTCTCTCTTTACGTAGATGGTGTGTGCTTTATCCTTTGGTGCTCTGGATGTTTTTACTATATGGGATGCTATGGCATCTGGTTTTACGGCTGCCTCTTGGCGTTTCTTACGGACACCACTCCCTAATTTTCTTAGTAATGACCATGCCTGTCTGCTTGATTTCTGGAAGTTTAGACTTTCTACTATTTCGGTCCACTTTTGTCTTCTAGCGGCGTCTAGGCTGTACAGTAGTTCATCCGCTATTTCTTGGTCGCCAGTTTCAAGAAAGCTCTGATATAATTCCTCGCTATTTTCCGACCAGCCAGGAACATATTCTTTGCGATATCCTCTCGGTATGTGTTTTTTGGCTACACTTAGCACGGCACCAACAAATCTGTGGTAGTTTTTGATATTCGGTGTAATCCATCCTAGACATTTATCTAGATCCACAGAGAAGTCAGTCCAGTTGGCCTTTTTAAAATTCCATCTTGGACGTGGGATAGAACTAATTAAAAGGATTTGCGTCCCTACTTCTATTATTACTGGTCGATGTTGGCTGTGTGGGAAATCAGTTAGAACTCTTCGTGAAGCCCCTAAAGGTAAGTCTTTGTTGTCGGTCGAGACGAAGCATAGGTCGGGGTTGTATTCTCGCCTCCATGCCGCAGATCTGAAAGTTGGTCGATCTTTGGCATCAAACAAAAGGTATAGGCGTTCGTCTTCTGCCCATTTTATTAAAGCATTCCCATTTGCATCACTATTTTTGTACTTCCACTGTTCATGATGGCTATTGTAATCTCCAACATATACAGCAGGGTAAGGCTGTACAGGAATTGTTTGGGCTGGCCAGTGAGTAGCAGGTGGCTTGTAAATGTTGGACACGGTAATGCTAGCGATTTTTGTGACCACATTATAAATACAGTCATCAGTGGAAGTAGAGATTAGCGAGGCATTTTCAATATCTTCTTTGACATATGTAGCTGTGCCATATGTTCGGTGGTAAGTTGCGCCTAATAGTTCATATCCCGGAATTTTGCCCCTTTTTTGTAGTTGTTCCTCTGTTTCGCAGTGGGTTTCCTGTATAGCAACTAAGTCAATGTTGTCATCTTTTTTCAATTTCAATTTCAATTTCAAAGATGATCCTGATCGACACCTGAAGTTTTGCGAACTTTTTACCCAACCACTGATCGATAAATATTTTTGATTTTGAATATTTGTTTTTTTTATGAGTTCACCTGAATATTGAATGAACAAGTAAACACTCATATCTGTCATTATTGGAGCAATACCAATCCGCTTTGGTTTAGGGAAACTCATTCTCAAGACGTAAAGTAAGGGGTAATGATGCGAAACATAAAGTATCTTCTATCCAAATGTCAACCTCAGCTGCCCGGGTGGAAGACTCGGTAAGTGGAAGGACACTTTCTTTGATCAACGGCATGGAGATGCATAAGGCAACAAAAAGCAAATATAATAAAAATCTAATTAATCATCTAAATTAACAAAAATTTAAACAAACGCTCTACTGACATAGGACTCAGAAAACAATATCCGACTCGGAAAAACTAGTCGGTCTGGTCAGAAACGAACTAGAAAGCCGGCATGCATTGTTTGCTTTTCAGTTGATAGCTCAAAGATGTATGGATATGAATCTGGATGTTACGTTGATTTTAGGAAGAATTCAACAAAGTAAAACATGAAAAATTAATCTAAATTCTAAAAAAAAAACATAGCCTAAAAACAAAATGAACTTAATAATAAGAAAATCTTTACTCTTTAACAACGAACCCAGTTTAGAAATTCAAATAATGAGAGAAGTGAGGCAAGAATGTATTTTGTTCCCATAACTATTCAATGTAGATATTGAATCTATTTTTGAAGAAGCGCTGCTATCTGAAACTGATAAAATAATAATAAACGAAAGAATCAGCAACATACGCTATCCAGATAATACTGTAATCATGGCAAGCTCTGCTGAACAAATCCAACTATTACTAAACAAGCAAGTACCTTCAATTAAAAATATGGACTAAAAATGATCTTTTTGGTATTCTTTTCTAGTATCTTTTCTAATTTGTACGTTAATCTTTCTTTTCTTATTTTTCTGGACTCTTGTAATCCAGAACTTCAAGTTGTTGTAAGTTTTCTAAATGTATGTTCTAATATATTGCCATTACTGTTTTCTAACTGTATTTTTTTTCTTGATCAGGTAACTTCCATATTTTCCATGATCAGGTTTTTCATTTAGGGAATTTATTTGGCCAGAATATTACCCTATAAAGCGAAAAAAACTATATATCAAGAGTTTCTTGGGATATGTCCATGTTTCCGATGCATACAGTAAAAGTGATTTAATGTGGGTGTGGAGGAGATGCAATCAGAAAGGAAATAGTTAGAGACA